TATAAACAAGTAAGGAAGGATAGAAGAGATAAATATAAACAAGCTTCAAGTTGTTTTAATGAAATTGTAAAGACTTTATTAGTAATGAAATATAAAATTTCTTGCAAATATCTTTTTTATATATGGTTAAAGGATCAATGAAAAGAGTTTATCTTATAAATCTAAAAAAAAAATTAATAATATAATATTAAAAATCTTTTTTTCTTAAGTAAAAAAATATTGTATAAATATCCTTAATAATAAAAAATGAATAAACAAAAATTTAAATATTAAAAATTTTTATATACTATATTTATTTTTTGATAATTATATATTTTTTTAATTTTCCAAAGAATTTTGTTTATTCTAGTTTAATTTAAGTTTAAAATAATATAATTTTTGCTAAAAAAACAATCGATTAATATAAAAAATATTAATAATAAAATATAAATAAATTTTTATTAATAGTTATATATTATATATTAATAATATTATTAATAGAAAAAAATCTATAGATATTCCATTTTTATTTTATTTTTTTAATTAGAATAATATATATTTTAAATATATAAAGTTTATAAAACTTAATTAATAAATTCTTAGATAATAATAAGTAAATTTTTAAAATATTTAATATATAAAATTTTATAAATTACTTATTTTATATTTTTTTTTTTTGAGAAATAAAATATATAACTTTTTATTTTAATAAAACTAAAATTTAAAAAATATTATAAATCCATAATTTAAATAATAAAAAATTATTTTAAATAGTTTTTTATAATTATTAATTTAAAATTTTGATATTTTCTAGAAAAAAATATTTAATTTTTTTCTAACTTCTTTTTTAAAAATTTAATTTATTCTTATGTAATAATAAAATTATAATTATTTAAATTATAGTTTTTTTATTTTTATTACTCTAATTAGATTGAATTTTACAATAATTTTTTTTTTTGTTTTAATTAAATTTTAGGATAATAACTTTTTATATCAATATAATATAAAAAAATTTTTATAAATAAAATACATAATAAATAATATAGATAAAAAATTAAATTAAAATAAATAAAATTTTCAAATAATTTTTTTTTAAAAAAAAGGTAAATAAATTTTTTTATTTTATTTATTTATTTTTTTTAACTTATTGTTAAATTGATGAAGCTTGTTTTTATTGTGTATTAAAAGAAATAATTACAAATTAAATGACATTCATATATTAGTTTACCTGTTATTGAAGTTTATCCTTTTTAGTTGTGCAGTAATTTAAGAATAATATTTTACTTTTTTTATGATCTAGATTATTCTTTAACCATAAAGTATTATAGATCATCACTATAAATATTTTATTTTATTTTTATTTTTATTTTCATTTAATTAAAAAAATTCCATTATAAAGTAAAACGATTTTTTTCAAAATTAAATTTGAAGACTTTTATTATTTATGATAAATTAGTTAAACTTGATAAAATAATTTAATTATAATATATATTATGTTATTTGAATAAATTGTATTTATATATTCGATTGATTAATAATCTATAGTTTGGATCTAACCACTGATATTGCAAAAAAAAAAAATAAAATAAAAAATTTTTATTAAATAATATTTATATATATTATTAATCGATTTTTTAAATAATTTTTTGATAATATTACTTACTATTGTAAGCAACAATTAATATAAAATTTAAGTATTAAATAAAACGAGTAAATATAAATATAGTAATCTGCAGATCCCTAGACAGTACGAGATCATCCTGGTTAATCCTAAATATGAATTGTTTTTATTAATTTAAGAAGTAACTCGAATATGAGATTGGAATTAATACTTTAAAAATATTAAGATATCATTCTATTGTTCTAGGACTCGTTTAAACGCAAAAAAGTCTAACGAGATATAGTTTAAAAAAAAACCATACCACCCGGACCACGTAATATTAAAATGACCTCTTTTTAAAAAAATTATCTGTGGACCCATGTGGATAGTCAATTTCCATACAACAATGATGAAATGATTGAATTGAGTGAGATAATTTTTTTGTGCTTTATTGGACTTTCGACCGTTTCCATATTTCTATTATCAGTGGATCGTATGGTATTATCTAACTCTCCTCTTTTCAAAATCAAATTTAACCTATTATATTAATAAATGCTAAACTTTTCTCACTATTCACCGAATCATCATTCGTTGATAACACCAAATTTGGTAACACGCGTAATTAAAAATGTATGTGAGTGCGTTGGATTTCTTTTACAATGTATCGGAATCCGAATAATATACAGAGTGCTTATGAATGCGTTCCCTATATTCAGGGTCAAATTTGAAATTCTGATTATCAGCCGAATGTTCCCCGCCGTAATTATGAATTCAGTTTAATTTTTCATGTGAATTTTTTATTTTAACGATAAAAGCATGTACGATCTCCTCCGTGATCAGCATTATCCATACACACCTCACGAGCCGTATTAGCGATTTTTTTGAAGCTCAGAACACGAATACGAACATAACCTTCAAAGATCTGGGATCATCATGAAATGCGGTAGGTGAAAATTTTAATTAAAAATTATGAATTACAGTTATAGCCAATTGTTGGATGATGTTCATTCGCGAATTATAAAAGGATGCACAATTTGGAAACCCTGAGAAAGACATTTCTGTTTTAGAACTTGCTTTCTCACATTAATATTCTCTGAATCTAATAGTGGTATATTACTGAATTTCTCTTGTTTAATTAATAATAAACAGGGAAAATCACAGAGAAAATTAATCTGAGAAAGCAATAGTAATTCTAAAAGAATCACGAAAAATCTCTTTCTTAACGATTATTACCATTCAAGATGCCGGATGCACAAGTCTACATTCAGGATGTCTCTCTTCCTGAAAAGACAAGTCGACCAAGGAGTTCTGCACCAAAGCTGCCTAAACTGGGAAACCCAACCCCTCTAGGTAATTAATTATTCTTTCGTTGTGACTTACCTGCATTTATCTAATCATAATATGACTGCGCCATTTAACACGTGCCTTTTAAGGTCTTTCCTCCTTTGCGTTGTCAGTTTTCATTTTATCTATATACAATACTGGAGCTTTTGGGATTCAGATTCCAAACGTCGTTGTCGGTGTTTCACTGTTCACTGGTGGTGTCGTTCAATTCGCCGCCGGCATGTGGGAATTTAAGGTTGGCAATACATTTGGTGGAACTGGTTTCGGCGCTTTCGGTGGTTTCTGGGCATCCTATGGTGTTATCTATATTCCAGCATTTGTGAGTTTGTTTGTCTTTATTCTGTGCACATTTGACACATAATAATGACGCGCTGATTGATTCGTTAATAACGTGACATGTAGGGAATTCAAGAAGCCTTTGGAGTTACGACTGACATAACAACAGGCAGTATTGTGGCCATAAATGCAACCGCGGTTAATGCAGTGGAACAATACCATAATTCACTCGCTGTATATTGTCTTGCCTGGCTCATATGTAAAACCTTTTCGGATTCTTTTCGCTCACTACAGTCTTTTTTTAAATTTACTTACACATTGCTTTATTTTAGTCACCTTCATCTTCACGCTCGCCTGTATTCGTACAAATGCCGCTGTCCTGGGGGCCTTTGTTTTCTTGACTTTATCTTTCGCTTTTGAAACCATCTACCATTTTCATCCATCATCATCATTTTCCATTAAAGCCGCTGGTGTTTTCGGAAGTATGTATATTTTAAATTGTTCTTGATAAACAAACTCATTATAATAATTCGTTCTCCCCCTCTCTTCTATAATAGTCCTTTGTTCCACTTGCGTCTATTACTGTCTGGCAGGACTACTTCTTACTCCCGACCTTTCACCGATTAGCCTGCCTCTATGGGACCTGAGCAAGAAAGGCCACTGAGTGAAAATTTCTTAAACCGAATCTTTTCCTAAATGTAAAACTTTAATATTATAGAAAGATAAACCGGGAGCACCCTTTTTTTTTTTTTTTCCTTTTCGTCGAACGAAAATTAATTTGAACATGGGATGTGATTTCTTAATACCAGCAAAAACGCTTTACCTATCTATGATATAATGTTAATAATTTTTTTAATGATTTAATGAAATGAACTCTTCCTTTCCTTCAACCTCTACTAGATTATGAACACAATTACTAGATCACTAATGAAAGTGCTATTTACTCAATGATTTCTAGTCGTTCGTGTCCCCATTTCTTCAACTTATCCTTTTTGTTTTTCACAAAATTTATTAGTCGCTAATAACTTAATTTATAATCAACAAACAAAATTTTAATAAACTTTCGCGTCCTTTTTTGCTACATTTGTGATAAGAAGTGAATTTTTTACTAACTCTAACTCTTAGTAGAATGACCGTGGGTTATCCGCTTTAACAAGCACCTCTACCCTTGGAATTTTTGTCTAACAATCAAACCGTTACTGAAAGCATGCTAAATTTATAGTTGTTTGTTTGTACAGTACAATAACAACATTAACCAAAAATATTTTTAAAATAATGTTTTCGCCGTCTTATTATTAAATGATTATATTTAGAGATAACATGATTGCAGTTTCTTTTATATTGATTATTAGAAAAAATAATACAAAAAGCAAATTATTCAAAATTTTTAATTCAAATTTAATCTAACCAAGATAAAAAAAATACATACAAAAAAAATGGCAAAATTTTTTTTATTCTTTCGATCGACCTAGCCTAACCAATTCAAGCCGAATTTCCGTTTTGTT